ACAAAAATGTGAGTGATATTACACATGGAACAAAATGGCACAATGGTCTACAAGGCCCGTATTAGAACAGTGAATATAAAAGAAGTTTAAGCTCAAATTTTTTGAAAGTTACTCAGCATCTATTAAAATTTCCAGCCTTTCTGGATGTGCATGCTTTGCTGTTTGAAAGCCCAGGCTGTTTTCAGGACTGGTCCTTTAGAGGCTTGAGCCCTACATCAAGCATCATCCTAGTACAGGGACAGCTCTTTTTTTAAATCACTGGACTTCACATCTTTTCTGCCTTGGCTAAACATGTTATGGTATGGCCTATGCATGCCTCACCAGTCACTAAAAGTCTGCAATTTATTACTTTTAATACAGTAGCACTGAAAGACCGCCTTAAAAAAAAAACACACACCCAAAACACCAGCCTTTGTGGTGCCAGGGCCTTGCTTGCCCTTCAATGGACAAGCTATGTGTGAGCAGGGGCAGAAGAGCAGCCTGAGCCACCAGGCAGGACCAAGGCTTACATCCCCAGCTGCTGTCTTACAGCCGGTTGCCTCCCCCTTGAACTGTGTAGCCTCTTGCATGCCAAAAACATTTCTGTGAACGCAATGCTAGAACTACTGTTGAAAGACACACAACAACGGAGCCCAACTTGTTTTTAAAAAAAGACGACAGAGGAGGGAAATAAAAAAAAAAATCCTGGACACAGTCACATCTATCTCAGTAAACAGGACTTTTTCAGACCTTGGGGTCAGACATACGACCAGTCTACTGTGGGTGAGTGACTGACTGTCAGCTTGGCCACTTTCACTTTTACCCACCATTTGCCAGGGGCTAAGCCCCTACACACGCTGGACGCGTAGGGCTGCTCAGCCAGCACGCAGGTGTCGGTGTTCCCTGTTTACCACTTGCTGCAGCAGTTTGCTCAGCGGCACTCATCTACCCTGAATGGCCATACTTCAGGATTAGGACCAAAGCCATTTCATCCCCCCCACCCCCCATGCAGTATCTCTGAGACACAAATCTGTTTCTAAATGAAGCAATGCTTATCTCATGCATGCTACGGGTGTGATGTCATCCCTTCTGGCAAAGGAACGAGGATGTCTACAGCCTCCATGGTGCAAAAATGCAGGAACTAAAGTTAACATGTCTAAGACTTTGTTAAAATATGGTGATAATTAAGAAATATAATTACAACTACAAAGTTAATTCCTCTTTGAACTCTTACAAACAAGTTTTTAATTTGCACCAAAAATTTACATTTCGGATTTCAAGTCAACCATGAATGGCTACAAGCTTGGCAGGGGACTCAAGGCGGTGGCTGGCGGAGTCTGCCAGGCTCGGGGGCAGGAGCACTGTGGTTTCCTGGGAATGCCACAGGCGAACGGTCGCCAGCAAACCCTGGGTGCACACAGGTGAGCCGATCGGATCGCTTTAAACTGCCTCATGTGTTGTACAAGTGTGAAAATAATAGCCTTGTCAGATAAACTTCTGCTTTTTATTAAAAAAAAAAAAACACTCCAGCAACTTATAAGGTAATTGATTGCTTTCTTCTAGGCTTTTATTAGTTGTGATTAAGGAGATCTAGTAGCCCTGTTTACACAGCTCTAACAAGTCAGGACCTGCAGTACGTTATTGGCTTGCGGCCCACAACTTGCCGTCCATTCTCAAGAGAATCAATCTGAAGTTGAAAACATCCCCTGTAGGAAGCGAACACATCCCCGCTTATACAGGAACAGAGAACAGTAATAACTTCAGGTCCTGTAAGTTGCAAGTTCAACTTACAGAGATCAGCCCTGACTTGTCATTGCTCTCAGCATGTTCGTGATGAGATCAGAGTGCTCCACAGAGGACTCGTACTTCCAACTTGACAAGGGACATAGGTGAGCATGTTACACTTCACTGTTACTTGCAGCTCAGACTGCAGAAAAAAAGCAAGAGCTCCTCACTGTTTAACATGCAGTCAAAGCCCTGCCAATCTAAAATGGCTGATCAGTAATACTTTAATTGCAGTTTCATAGAAACAAATTGCTATTTAATTGTAATAAGCTCTTCTGTGGCTTAGCTGGACTGACAATCGGCATACACCTGGTACTAAAAGTAACAAGCACCAACAGTGGTTATCTGGTACTTCATGTACAGGAAGCTCAGGCAGTGAAATCAGACCTGGAACACATAATTTCACACTGAAGAAATATTATACTTAAAAAAATATATACACATAAATGTTCTGATCTCTTATTTGTTATTTTAATAGAGCTGTTCAGAACATAGATCCTTGCAAAAAGCCTCACACCTGACATGTAACTACCAGCCAAAGAATTTGATAAAAAAATTTAAATGATCTTTTCAAATGCCTGACAGTACTTGATAACAAGTCATATTATGCCACTATGCAATTTTTTTTTTTTTTTTTTTTTTTTTTTTTAGTATTTACCCCGAAATTAGATGATGCAAATTTTATCAGTCTTAACTAACAGGGAAAAAGAGAGACAAATTCAGTGTGGTTAATATTCTAAACATGTGACTTAATTTCATAGGCTTCATTTTGGTAAGACATTCTCATTTTATATTTCATAAGATACTGCATAACCTGTTAAAATATTTAAAGATAAATCATGTAGGACTGAAAAGACAGTATCTTGTTGCAAACAGAATTTGGTTAGGAAAGGCTTAATGTCCCACTGCCTGCCAGGATGCGTAAATCTCATAACTAGACAGCTGGATAGGTAAAAACATTAAACCCATTTAAAGGGCAATCTTTTTACAAAATTGTTTCATTAATAAGAGTGACAATTTATATGATTGAGACATTTAGATGCAGTATAGACAGAGCATTTTATCCAGGTTCACGAGGATGGTTTCAGATTAGTAATATTTCCTGATTTTTTTTAACAGCATTCATTTTTGAAAGTGAGGGAAGCTCTTACTGAATGATTATTTGTATGACTTTTCAGCAGCACTAAATGCAGAGGGTATATTTCAGCCTCAGGGTAGCAAATGCATGTGATAAAAGGTGAACAAGTACATGTTTTTCCTTACAGATCTTCTAAAAAAGTGGGTTTTCACATAAGGATAAAGCTAAGTGTTTCCAGTAGCCTTCTATCCACACCTACTGTCCCCATTAGAGCCTGTTTTATTGTCTGAAATGCCTCCGGTTTCAAGAAAGTGTTTTACCTAAAGCAAGACTACTACTTAAATATGTTCTATTGTATATTCATAGCTCCATTAGTCCTCCTCCAATTTAGCACATCAAAGCAAAGGCTTCATCACTTGCATGTGGATTATGCTAACATGAGTGACATTTGTAATCTTATAGGTCTGCAACTTAAGAAATGCTTTTAAAGTAAGCTATTAAATAGGTAGCTGTGCTTTACAAACGAGTCATATAATAGTTTATTTAAAGCCGTTAATGAACTTCAACCTCTACATCACTAAATGCTATACTACATTACTTACTAGAAGTTATTAGCCATCTTCTTAGCACTTCTAGGTTATATTGGACAACCAAAAATCTGTACATGTTAAACACTGTACCTTGAGTGCTTATACTGAAAGAGTATAAAAAGATGCCTACAGTCTAATACTTGAATTCTACATTCATATGACTTCAGGTGTCCTTTCAAAGATATTGAAGCAGCACAATTTGCAGGACTCTACCTAAAGACTTTAATGCCAGATCAAAAAGCTTAGAAACTTATTTTAAAAGTATGTAAGGGCATTTAATTAAAAAGTCATACATAGCTTCAGTCATTTTATTGCTTTATGTTACGCAAGTATTCTTTTGTCTTTACTGTCTGATACTGTACATTATGACATTTTCTTTTCTCTGTGACAGTCCTATTTTTCCTCAAGCACTGAAGTGTTAAAAGAAGAAATTCCACAGACCTCCAATATACCAGAGGTCAAGAAGTAGAATCTGAAAATAAAAATCATCTGTTGGTTGTTTAGACAGGCAAATCTATAAATCAGCTTTTTGTGTATCAGCATCACAACAAAACTAAGTCAAGCTCACTCCGTAACCAAGCACGCTGAACAGCGAACACCTTCTCAAAAACAGAATTTAAAAAGAAAACATAATCATGATGTGTTTCAAATGCATTAGTCTCCTATAAAAGAGGAGTAGCTGTCAATATTGGTTTGTTATTAATTGCGGCAGAGGCATATTCTAGGTGCTTGCAGTTTCCTGACTGAAGGCACACAATGCTCAGCCATAGACTGATGTCAGTATTCTTGCTACAATCATGAAAAGTCAGATTTTTTTTCTCAAAATTATTATGCACAGCTCTACCACCGAGCAGCTGATGGGACAAACCCACTAAGTGAAGCTGCTCCCTTTCCAAGCTTAGAGGAGGCTTTGTTGTTCTGCGCGGGGGGGGGCTACGTGTGGTTTTTGTTTGTTTGCTTTCAGAAAACAGATCATATTTGAGATCAGTTAGTTATAGGAAAACGCCCAGGAAACGTCTTTTTCTTTCCTTAAGATTATCAGTGTTGAAAAGTTAGTCTCTTACCACGGTAAACACAACTTTAAGTTGTTCAGACCAGAATAGCTATTGTATTCCTTTTTAAGGAGGTACAGACCTTTTGCTGGTTTTTATTCTTTGACCTCTTACGGCATATACATACACTCTCATGCTCACTCGCTCATAGACACATGCACAGCCTTAACACAAGATGATTCTGCGGAAAGGAACTGGATAGAAAGAGACCACAAAAACTATATGCGTACCATAATCACTGCAATATGAATTATAATATACTTGCTGTTACTACAATTAAGAATCTCAATGAAAAATAAAGATCATTTTGAAGTAGTGCTCTGTATCCTTACCAAAAGTAACACGGTTAAGTAGTTTAACATATTCTTTACTGGCATAAGAGAAAAAAGTGTCCAAAAAGTAACTTTTAAAGGTAATTGACAATTAAGGTAATGTCTACGTAAGATATAGTTTCAGAATAATGTTTTGAACATTTTTTTTTAAAAAAAAGCAAAGTTTCTAAAACCCATACTCAATTCAGTGTTGTTTTACTTTTTTATTATTTAAATACACCATACTAGAGCAAATGTCTCTGAAAATATCACAAATAAAAGATTTTTCTTCATTCAGCAAATTAGAAGTAGGTGAAAATTTCTACACAGGAGCGGCTATGAGCCTGAATTTTTTTTTTTTCTTTTTTTTTTTTTTTTTTTGCCATGGGAAGTAGCAACATTAGGACAAAAACACTTACATGCATACATACATTGTATTTTACAGAGATACAATAAAAGTGTTTGTGATAGAATATCACAAAAGCCACATCTTTATCTCATGTTCAGTTTGATTGAAACACATTTCCTTACAACACTTAAATATACAAAGAGCAAATAGAATGTTGTTAAGGTAAAACACAGGGTACAAACTGGCCAGTGCCCTGCTAATTGTTAATGAGGGTAGAAAGCAGATTTCAATGCTTGTTTTAATTAGCTTCATTAGTCATCTCCCCCACACACACACACCCCCACCCCCCCCAGATGTCCTCCGGTGGATCTTTTTTCATTTTCTCTACAGTCTCCCATTAGCCCAGGTTCATGGAGTCCTTAATGTTCATATTCAGTCATTTTAATACACCAATAAATGTGGGAAGGGCAATCAAGAATAAAGAAGGTGCAATGGTATGGAGCTGGCATTGATGCTAGCTACAAAGGTGACTTGTCTACTTGGAGACATGGGATCCATCTGTGATGAACAAAATTTGAGATGAAGGCACGCATTCTGCATTACTCTGACCTTTTAGCAGACCTGTAAGAAATAAAAATGGGTATCTTAGCTAGAATACTAAATTTGAGATAGGAAACTACAACATGACTGCTTTTGTCTTTTCCTCATTCACTAATCTCTTTTTTATTAGATTACTTTCCAACTGTGACTTGATTAAGGCTTTCTACACTATCCATTCATGCTGCCAACGTTTCAACTTCAAATAGCAAAAAGCAAACATTTTCTGCAGTTTCACTACTAAAAAGAGCAGGCAGGGGAGGG